CTCAATGGAGTCATTTCGATATGACCTAGGAACTTACAGAATACCGAAGTTGGATAATCGGTAGAAGAATGATTGGCTAGATCATTTGCTTCACTGCGGAAGAACCCCTTTCTACGCTACGTTCCCAATAAAATGCCATCATCCTTCTATCGCATGTTAGCCACACTAGACCAAGAAAAGGCAAACTAATCAACCAAGATTCAGTCACGACCTTTGTAACCTCACAACCACTTTCTTTCCTAGAGCTTGTAGTCATGATCTTCGCTTTTCAGATATGGTGACATTACTTGTATGTGGGGAAGTGCCAGATCTTTACGGATCATAAGAGCTTGAGGTACTTGATGACATAGAAGAAGTTGAACCTTTGCTAGGATGGCACACTTCTATTCCGGGGATGAGTATGTGTTCCTCAGGATAGTGACCTATGCCATGATATCTTGGAGAAGGCGCATAGCTCACCTTTTTTCCTGCACCCAGGGAGCACGAAGATGTACATGACGCTCCTCCAACAATATTGGTGGAAAGGTATGAAGAGGGATGTCGCTGAGTATGTGGATAAATGCTTAGTGTGCCAGCTGGTTAAGGCTGAGCACCAGAGACCAGCAGGACCCTTACAACCAGTTTAGATACCACAGTGAAAATGGGACGAGATAGCCATGGACTTTGTCTCTGTATTGCCGAAGACTACGAGGCAACATGACGCCATTTGGGTGATTATTGATCGGCTGACCAAGTCAACTCACTTCCTGCCAATCAATATGACTTACTCTACGGGCAAGCTAGCCCAGATATATATTGATGAGATAGTGCGCCTACACTGGATACCATCATCCATAGTATCAGACAGAGATCCACGGTTCACTTCAGCCTTGTGGAAGAGCCTACAGAAGGCTTTGGGTAGCAGAGTGAGTCTTAGCACAACCTTCCATCCTCAGACCGATGGCCAGTCTAAGAGGACCATCCAGATATTGGAGGCTCTTGATTTTCGAGGTTATTGGGACAGACATCTACCATTGGTTACGTTCGCCTATAACAAGAGTTAGAACCTAATTGGTCCATTTTGCCCTTCCACTCTTCGGCCATGGCCTTGACCTCGTCCATCTCGGCTCGAAGCTGGTCGATCCGATCAAGCTTTTGCTGGACCTGCAGGTTTTGAGCGTTAATCGCCATGCATAACTCATCGTCACTAACTTTAAAGATATTTACCTGTTCCACCAGGGCGTCATGTTCTTGCTAAGCCGCGTCCAACTCAGCCCGTAGATTCTTGACTTCTCTTTCACGTTGCTCACTGAGAAGCTTATACATGTCCCACTTCTCAGCAATCTCTTTGACTTCGGCCTCAAGTTGGCTAAGCTCATCCTGGTACCGAATAAAGGTTTCGTGTTGGAGCACCGAGGCCTACAGAATGTGAAAAAGAAAAGGCATTAGAGTCATAAAAAACTGAATTCATAGATAAAAGAGTGTGATAACACTTTACCCGATTCAGCGCCCGTTGCACTTCGTTGAATAAGCATAGCGCATCCACCCCGTTCATTTTTTCCTGGTCTTCTTTGGTTACTAGGCACAGAAGGTAACTAGATATCCCGACGTGGGCAGAAAGAACCAGTAAATCCTCCAGGATGGTGATAACCACTGCTCGCTTCCGGCCAGGATCCGTGCTAGGAGTGAGAAACTGGTTGATCAACCTCGGGCGCGAGTTCGGCCCACCGACCTCTGAGGATGGACTCTTCCTCGGCACCTCTAAGTCGCCCAACCCGGAGAAGTATTCTAGGGAGGTTGAGTCTACACCATCGAAGAAGCATCAGAGGGGATCCTCCGCTCCATGAGCCCCTTAATTGGATCGCTCATTCATCCCTAGGGCTTCATTGAACATGGACTCTGTGAACGAGGCAGATCACGAAATTTCTATAACACTGGGCGGGGCGGAGCCGGTGACTCGAGAGGTCTCGACCCTCACATATGTATGAGCTTTGTAAACTTGAGAGGGATTAGCCCCCATCGTTTCCTCCTCGGCTGCCACTGGTTCCTCGGAAACGGACGACTCGCGGGCCACAAAAAGGTCATCCTCCTCGGGCTCGTCCCTCAGCCGGTAGAGTGAATCCGAGTCAGGCATTCGAGATCTGGAGCTTTCCTTTGGCTAACGAGCCAACCTTCTCCTCGATTTCTTCTTCTCCGAGCTCGGGGAACTCGGTGCCCTCTTTTTTTTCTTCTACCTTGTTGTGGCTCTAGGCTGCCCTAAAGCAGAAGGATCAGCGGGCAGGTCCTTGCCCCCTGCCAAGGGCCTAAGCTCGATGGTCTTAGGCAAGCTTGCAAAAAACAAAAAGAGAAGCAATAAGGGCATAGTGTTGAAAAAGAAAGTTTAGTGCTACTTACTCGGAGAAAGGAATCTTACTGTGAGAACGGGCCTCCCTGCGGCCCTTCGAGAGCTCGCGCCACAAGTGCTCTGCATAAGACATCTGCGATCAAATACCTGCGATTCACTCCTTGAGTCGGGCAATGGTGTTTCGAACTCGAGCGAGGGCTGCACCACAACAAACACCGATGAGAAAAGGGAAGATAAAACGTGAAATTGACGTTTAAAAGAAGTTATACTTACGCGATACGTTCCACTTCTCGGGGAACGACCTCCACTCGACAGGTATCAGGTCGGCAGTCCTCACTCGGACAAAGCATCCTTGCCAACCCCGATCCCGGTCCTCATCGATACTCAAAAATGGGGCTTTACTGGCCCAGCGTACAAGCTTTATCAGCCCCCCGGAAGATTTGGAGACTGTATAAGCGGAACAAATGGTCGATGGTGAATGTACACGAATCAATTTTATTAACGAAGAATCGAAGGAGGATCACGATCCTCCACAATGATGGGTTGAATTTGGCCAAGGCATACATCGTACCTCCTGCAAAAGTCCAAGATGACCGGGTCCACCGGGACTAATGTAAAGGGATAAGTGTAAATACTTAGATATCCCTCAACATGTATGGTGATATCATCATCGGGCTCGGGAATCACTAGATCCTTATCCGCCCAACCACAGTCCTTTCGAACTATATAAAGAACGACCTCAGTAATAGAGCAGATATACAGTGACACATCCTCGCATCAGCCTTGAATCGAAGAGGGCTTTTCAACCTTGAAGTCGTCATTGAACGAATACCCCTCGGGGACGAACATTTTCAAGGGTGATTGGTTACCGGTTCATCAGTGGCCGCAATCGGAACTGACTTCTCGAGGACGACCACATCAGGGGCGGTATCCTCGACCTTAGTGGTCGGCTGTGAAGATGAAGGAACATCATCTGGGGAACAGTTTTGGAAGTATTTGCCATTTCTTTTATCTGGTTAAAAGGGTTTTAAACTATGAAGGAGAATGATGGGATGGGGGGGTGAGAACTTGCTAATAAAAACAAGCACACTGGCTTAAGTAAGGGGTAAAAGAAAGGTTGTAACTTGAAGAACGAAGGTAAGAATATTGAGGGATGACAGAAGACTGTAATATCTTAAAGGATCGAAGGTAGAAGCTTAGTCCAAAGTAAAAAATGAACGAAGGAAGGGGTATTTATAGAGGCATGGCACCGTTTCACATTCAGGCACGACCTGCCGACGACTGACATACATTAGGGGTCATTGTGATGCGACTGACGGGACGTTTCGGTTTCTTTGTCGTTTTGTGTCGCATCGTGTTGGAGAAGAAATCGAAAAACTCATGTCGTTCCTCGTCGTTTCCGTAAAACTTGCTCTCTGAGAAACGAGGGGACTATTTGTATACGGGTGAAATCAGACCCATAAGCCTGCCCGGTTCCCGATAAAATAAATCGAGTAAGGAACGCGATAATAAGGAATCAGAATCAAGGTAAGATACTCGTCAAGTCAGGTACCGGGGGCACGACGCCCGCCCTCGAGTATATCGAGGCCATGACTCCGAGATCGATCCAAATTCCAAAAGATTTCGGAGAGCATTATTGGGCAATCAAACACGATTAACGGAAGGCCGTAATATCCCTGACCAACCGAGTATCACGGCGCAGATCTCGGCACGTACCGACGGGAATCCAGTGATTAGTTAAACGGGAGATTTTTACCTTTTATGGAATTGTACCTAGAGTAGGATTCCTCTATAAAGGGGGATATGATTATTCGTTGAACACATTGTAACACGCATCCCAAAGTAATATACTATTATTTGCAGTGTCATTCATAACTCTTATTTCTTGTTCATCAGTGCTGGTCATTGTGAGTCCGGATCGAGAGTGGATATTTCATCAAGGCTGAAATTATCCTTCTCACGTGGTTTGAATTTACTATATCTTTATTTATTTAATCTAACGCAATTTATCGTTTATATCGAATTAATCCACGTATACTTAAAACCACTAATTATTATCTATTTTTTAGGGTAAACAATTATTATTATGATATATTAATATAAGTTGATAGATAGATAATGTGGAAATTTGAAAAGTAGTAGTAATAATTTTACAAATAAATATTTTTCTTCAAAAGCAACTAACTAAATCCAAACGTCAAATTACCATTTCAAAAATGTATTCAAGATCTTTTAAACAAAATTGTTTTTTCAAAATATTGCGGAACTAAAGTGTCGGAAGCAGATTCGGCCAAATTCAATAATTTTGGTTCGAATTATATATGTATATCTTAAAAAATCTATTAAATATATAATATAAATTATTAACATAAAACACAGTAACTTAAAATAACTAAAATTCGTTTGAAATTTTGATTCCGCCTCTATGTCTAAATCAGTGTTCAAACCTAAGGGCCAAGTGTAAAGATAGACAAAGAGACCAACAATGTATCCACAGAGCCAGCAAACCTAATACTATTTGATATTGAATGACACGTAGAGAGCTCATATTGACTACTGTGTTTACAATAGCCATACAACTGACACGTGTGCCCACGTATTATGCCACTCGTCCACTAACCTATAGCATAACTCTTCTTATATATATCTGAAATTTTTTCCAGACTCAACCAGATCATTTTCTTGTTTGTGTAATACTATCAATTCATTGCTCTGATCTAGTATTCTTCACTTACAAATATAGTTTGTTTGGTTAATATAATTATGGCTTCAAGAAACATAAGGGAGTTGATTTATGTGTTGTTATTAGTGGGATTTGTGGTTATTTCTATGTCTGGTTTGGTGATTTGTAAGGAAACTAATGAGGAAATTGAGCAGCAAAGTAAAGAAAATTCAGAGTCTTGGACAGGATGGGCTAAAGATAAGATTTCTGAAGGTCTTGGTTTTAAATCAACTGATGATGATTCTGCTGCTAAACAAGCTTCCGATTCAACTATGGATGCTGCTAAGAATGCCAAAGACAAGATTACTGATACTGCTACAGGTTAATTATTATGGCCTATACTATTTTTTATGTAGTTTAATTAGTTTACATAGATTCTATATTCAAGTTCGCGGTCAAAATTAGTACAAGAATTTTGACCCTCAATGTTCGAAATTTACAAGTTGATTGGGGTTGGGACGGCGGGGGAGTATCAATTTATAGTAGTTAAACTTATAATGTAATTAACTTATATATTACCTACAGTATAATTGTTCTATCCGCGTATGAACTTAATTGTCTTTTTAAGTTTAGTAAGTTGAGAGTGTAATATTTTTCTTACACTTTCCAACTCAGTGGCGTAGTTATAATTTTGCGGAGTTATAATTTTTATTAGGGGGTNATATATATATATATAAACATAACAACACCGATTCACTGAGTGATTTTTCTTACCGCTGCGCTTAATTAGGCCCTTTCTATCCTATTAGTCAAACATGCTAGCTACAATAAAAAAAAAATAGCTCTAACGAACAATAAAACGGATGTGCTAAAGCGCAACACCGATTTTATATTATATGCATTTCACTATAACATATTTTTTTAATCGTTACTAAGTAGGATTAGCAACAAATTGCAATTTTGTAGTAGTGATTATAGAAATGTGGATGCGAGTTAATTGTGGAAAAATTTGAATGAAATGCAGGAACAGGACAATACGTAGCAGACAAGGCAGGAGATATAAAGAACACAGCAGAAGAAGCAAAGAACAAAGCATACGAAACAGCAGAAGCAGCAAAACAAAAAGCAACAGAAAAATCAAGTGAAGCTTATTCAAAAGCAGGAGAAGAAAAAGAAAAAGCATATTCAGATGCAGAAACAGCAAAACACAAGGCATCAGAAAAGGCAGAAGAAGCAAAGGAAAAAGCAACAGAAAAAGCAGAAGAAGCAAAACAGCAAATGAAAGGAATGGGAGAAGAGAAAGCAGAAGGAGAAACAGAAGAACATATGAGTTGGGCTAGAGAGAAAGCAAAAGAAGGATATGAAAGTGCAAAGAGCAAAGCAGAGGAAACATTGGAAAAAGCAAAGGAAAATATAGCTTCAAATTTGGAATCAGCTAAGGAAAAAACAAAGGAAATTAAGGAAAATATAGCTGGCAAAAAGCGAGACGAGGAACTCTAAATTAGAATTATATCAAGATATGTAATAATATAGTGATGATAACAGGTGTCGTTAATTTTTTTTTTTT